GTTTCTGTTTTTGTTTGTTTTTCACTCATATCGTGAATTCCTAAAGAATCTAACTCCCAGAGATCCGATATTTTAGCATAGTCTACATGTAAAGTTAATAATAACTGAGGAGTATTAAATGCATTTTCTCGTAGAGATTTCCCCAGTACTGTCCACCCAAGACGCGTATTCGCAGCTACTAACCCTCCTGATAGATGTTTCATATTCCCCGTTAGCAAGGTACTTGCAAGATCTGCCCCAATAAGTATGTGAATTTCATTTGGGCTTTTTTCATATAAACAAGAATTCCCTTTTAATTCGATATCACTTGCAAAAATACCCATACCTTTTAATTCATGTTTACAGTTGGAATCACTTATTTTAGGAATATGAGCACAAATCTGCTTCTGATCCATCACGTCAAATTCACAGCTGAACTTCTCATCCAGGCTAGTTAGCTTAACACTATACCGCTTATGTTGTTCAGTATTTTCAATACCTCCAAAAAGTCCGTGGGTGACAGTTTCCTCCCCAATGCAATTTAAACCCATTGTTTCAGCAATAAATTTACTACAATATGATCTTTGATTACCCAAATCAATAATTATTCTTACTAAATTTTTAGAATTCTGACCATGAACATATACAATTAAAGTTTGTAAATAAACTTCATTAGAACAACAATTATTAGTTAAAACACTACTTTCAACAAGTTTATTACTATTATCAGAATTATCGGATTCATTCCCTTTTAAATTATGATTTAAATAACACATTATTGATGCATGGCGCTTCGAACAAAATGTGCAAACAATTTTTGAATAACACTGATCCGCCCTATGATTCATAATTAAACAGCGAAAGCAAGCTCGTCTTTTTTTCAAAATATTCTTTTTTTCTTCTAACGATAAACTCATTGCTAATTTACAACTCGCTGAATCATGCGGTTCCTCACAAAAAACGCAGAAAGATTTTTTATTCCTGTTCTGTTTCATCTCAGAGCTCAATAAATCTGTTGCCGTATATTTCGGTTTCTCATTTTCACGTGATTGAATATTTAACTTTCTACTAGAGGGGGAGAAACATAACATATCAACCTCTTCTCTCTGAGGCGATCATTCCCGTTCTGTTTACAAAACTTCCGCCTCGCTACAGTTACAGTTAAAATTTTAAAGTTAGATTGTTCGTCGCAGTTTCTCGACACTGACTTAAAATATCTTCTGTGGTAGATGGATCAAGGGTTAGAATTCCCTTGCCATCGGGCGAAGGGGGTACGTACTTCTCCTGAAAAAAGTTACAAGAAAGCAAACATCCTTTGCATTATCTTTTAAGTTCTAGAGGGGAAAAAACTGAAACTAATGAGAGTAGATTCGTCAACAGTAAAATTTATACCAATGGCAATTGCAATAATATGAGATAATTTATTTTTTCAAACATCTCTCCCGAATCATCAAATTGGAATTTTTGCACGATTTTTAGAATCGGGGCTGAATTTACCCNCAAAATCCGGGCTCTTCTGATGACAATAGATTTATCAACAGTAAAATTTATGCCAATGGCAATTGCAATAATATGAGATAATTTATTTTTTCAAACATCTCTCCCGAATCATCAAATTGGAATTTTTGCACGATTTTTAGAATCGGGGCTGAATTTACCCCTTCCACCCACTGAGTCAAAATCTGAGGACCTTTGCATGCACGGTTCTGGTGTTATAAGAGACTGAAAGAGAGACACGAATTCTTCATTTTATTATAATAGACAACTCTGATCATCACAACACATAAATAAATAAGTTAAACAAACGGCGTGTTTAAGCTCTAACCAACTGAAGAAAATTATTCTGCCCAATTTTTAAATTACAATTGTAGATTAAAAAAACGACAATAGTATCATTTTGAGATTACCTATGGTTCTTCATAGAGTGATTAAGCACTCGCCTCCGAATGAGGTGACCCGAGTTCGAATCTCAGCGGAGACTGGTTGATACGAATTCTGCTCGGGGCTCGCACCGACCACATTGCTGACGTAAAGTATCTTCAGTGGTAGACGGGTCGTTGGTTAGAGTCCCCTTACCATCGGGCTAACCGGGGAGTTTCCCTAGTTCTCCTCTCCATGTAATGCAAAAGCGGATTAGTTCCATCATAAAGTCCTCCACGAAGGCTAATTTGCATCAATGCTTGCTCCAGGAGTTCCCTTGTCTTCTGGATTGGGTTAAAAATTCCAAGGCTAGATAGTTGAATCGTTTTAGTCGCAAACTCTGAATTGGGTCAACGCCGGTTGTAAAATAAAATAAAATTGTATCATTCATTACCACTAGGAAAAAATCCTCCCAGGAAATCATCGTAATACAATAAACTGAATAAAATAGCATATTCTCGTAAATAACACAAATAAATTAAACACACATAATATTAGTTTGTTTAAGTTCTGTCCAACTAAAAAAAGTAATATTTCTACTTACTACTGCAATTACTGAAATATAATTTTATGCAAAAAATAAAGTCAATTCTAACCTTTTCTTAGTACTTAGAAAAAATCATCTTAGGAAAAATTAAAAATTGTCATGTATGTCTTCAATATTGTAAAACAATTATATTAATTAACATATGCGAAAAAATAAGACCAATAAAACAAGCACCCACATAATGGCGTGTTTAAGTTCTGGCCAACTGGAAAAAAAATTATTTCTGTTCATTATTTTTATTATTGAATTACAATTCAAGACAAAAATCAAGCCAATTGTAACATTTTACTAGCAATTGGGAAATTATCCTATGAGGAAAGAGTAAAAGTTTGCATGCAATAAAAATAAATTATAAACACATAAATAACAGAAAAATTATTTTAACATGTGTGCGTAAGGCGTGTTCCAGAGCTTTGACCATCTAAAAATATTATTTCTCTCTACTATTGCAATTATTAAATTACAATTTAAAAAAAATAAGACCAATTGTGTCACTTGGAAAAAGTCATCCTAAGAAAAATTATAAACTGTCATGTATGTTTTCAAAATCGTGCTTTTGCTCAGTTAGTCATCAGTCTGTCATTAAACGTTTTTTTTTCTTCTTCCCAGGATAACATACTGCACCTACGCAACAGCATCCCAGAGAGAGGAAGTTGAGAGCTTGTTTGACCACCGCCTCCCCGTTTGGCATGCGTGGTTGCTAGGCAACGCAGGATTATCATTGAGTCTAGTTAACATCGCATCCCTGGGTTTTCCTTCCGAGAGAGTCAAATGTTATCAGATATATTATCCACTGCAGGGAAATGATATCCTTTTCTCATTATTGCACTTGACATCCCGTTGAGCGGAGAGATTTTTATTACTAGGTGCTTTAGTTTCACAAATGAGCTCTCCTGAAAACGGACCGAACAAAAACTGCATTATTGTGCTTGCCAAAGAATAAATAGTTGCAAGTTGCAGAAATAGTCGGGCTATATTTTTTGGATTCACACGTGAGAAATTTATCACCTTGCATAAGAATAGGTTTACAGGTATTTATTTATTTTTTCTTTTATGCGCCATTTTCAACTGATGAGAACAGTTTAAATTTAATACTCAGGGTGGATTTTTCATGAGTGTAAATTGGCGTGTTTAAATATAAATTGAAACTTTAAAATACATTTTTTTTATTTTGTTGCATATTAGATGTTTATTATTTTGAATATTTGAAAGATGGACTTTGCATTGCATACCAATATTTATTTAATTTATAATACAATTTGCATTGCAATAAAATATTTAATTTTTGACTTAAAAGTTGTTACTATTGTAAGAAACTGAAGCGCTTGTTGGTGCACTGTGGCATGCTGCTAATGCGCACAAAATTTTTTTGCCCTACTTAAAATAATGAAATTTGAAATGAAAATCTATAGCAAATTTTTAAATCTTAATCAATTTCAAAAAGCATTTCTTACCAATTAATACTGCTTGTTATTAGATTAAAATCGAGAAGACTTATATTATAAGCTATTGTGTCGAACTATTAAAATTTAATCAAGAATTTACCAGTTTTTTTTTTTTTTTGAAAAGTATTGCTGTATTTGTACAATAAAATACAACTTACAAATAACTTTAAAAAACTAATATAATAAAATGAAAAATAGACATTATAGATGTATCTTTTCTATTAACCTTATTTAAAAACATTTCCAATTTATAAAATATACACTTAACAAATATTCTTCCATTTTAATTTACTATATACTAACTAATAAAATAAAATTTTTATCATAGCAAAAATTTATATACATTTATTCGTATAATATTGAATTGTTGCACTCTTGGGTGACTTTGCATGGCTGAATCTATAGTAAATATCACTAAAACCGATACGGCTATGTTGCATCTGAATCAAATGAAAGAAAGTCGTTATAATATCTTCTCAAGTTATACTATGTCGTTATACTATGTCTGACATGAAAATAAAAAGTAGAGAAAATAAAAAGCGTGATTTTTACTATGCTCAAATTTTTATTGACCTATAATTTTTGATTTTTTTTTCTGTAGGTTTATATTATTATTATTTACATAGTTATATATCCCAAAAATAGTTAAAACTAACAAAAAATATTTTTGTTCATGAAAACGGGCATGGAACAAATTGGTTAGCAATGGATAAATTCGAGAACTAAGAAGCAAAAAAGAGATTTAAAAAAAATGCAGGGTATTCCAACATCTAATTGGAAAATTCAGAGGAGTGATAAAAGGCATTTTTTTTCTTCTTTTATAGCTCTACAGCCCTAGGTGGGCCTAGGCTTCCTAAGTTTGTAATATTCATTTACGTTAATGCATAGCGTCAATTTGTAATGTTCGTAGTAATTAGATCTTTTGTTTTAATATCGCCTAATCATCGCTTTTTGGGGTCCTTCCCTAGGTTTTGAGCTTATTGGTTTTCAATTTAACACTGCTGGCACGGATGATTCATAAGAGGATTCGTACAAAATCAAAATGGAAATAAATAAAAAGCTGTAGCTTAAAATGTAACAATGCTAATTTTGAGAGACTTATTTTGCCTTTACTTTAATCATTGTAAGTCTAATCACATATCTAATCAATGTTGGACTTGGACTAAGTGTTGATCCGGAGTGCCTGTCCGCGAAGCGAACAACTGACTCCTTCATCTATGATTATGCCCTTGGGCGACTGGAATATGACAGTGAGCAGATAATGACTAGAGAAATGCAGAAGCATTAGTCATCATAAGTCTAAACTTACAACAATAATTTCCATCTAAATTTGAATCAATGTTAGTTCAAAGAGTGATTATACAATTTTTATTTTGAACTAAGTAGTGGGGAATTAAATAAATCTAACCCCGCAAACAAATAAACTACTAAAAGAATTTGTTGGGTTACCAGTTTTATTTTTTTTCATCCAGACTAATAACATTTCTTGCTGGTATATATTTGTGACATTTCTAATAAATAATTTCATGAAATTTAATATCCCTATAGACTTAATTACTCTCTTATACAACTAGCTAAAAAACGGATCGTTTAAAATTAGAATAAACAATATCCTTTCAACCAGTAGAGCAATGAGGGCCGAAATACAATGCGAAAAAAAATCCACTATAATTTTTCACTATAGCTCGATATTCCACCGTAATTCTCCACTGTGAATAATTTATTCAAATTAGTCCAAAAAAATTTCAATTTTTTTTTAATCAAATATTTATTTATATTTTTTATTTTTATTTGTCTAAGTCCAGGTCTCACTTTCATAATAACTACTTAAAAGGGGGGTAACTATACTATATATAAAAAATACTATACTATATATAAAAATACGTGCCGTGATGGCTCAGTTGATAGAGCGCTTGCTTTTCAATGAGGTGAAACGGGTTCAAACCCAGCGATCGCTGGTCGATACGTATTCCGCATCCGGCTTGCACCTACCACAGTGCTGACGCAGAATATAGTCAGTGGTAGACAGATCATGGGTTAGAGTCCCCTTGCCGTCAGGCTACCCATGAGAGGTTTTCCTCTCCATATAACGCAAATGCGGGTTAGCTCCATCAAAAAGTCCTCCTCAAAGGAAACGAATTCCGCACCCGGCTCACAGTGCTGACGTAAAATATCCTCAATGGTGGACGGATTATGGGCTAGAGTCCCTTGCTGTCAGGCTAACCGTGGGAGGTTTTCGTGGTTTTCTCTCTCTATGTAACACAAATGCGGGTTAGTTCCATCAAAAAAATCCTCCAAGAAGGCAAATTTTTCCTAATACTTGATCCAGGAGTTCCCTTGTCTTCTGGATTGGGTTCAAAATTACAAGGCTTTGGAGTTAAACATTAGTAGTCGTAAATCCGAAAATTTGGTCGTCTGTTGAACGACGGTTATAAAATATTAAAAAATATAGGCCATCATTTGAGGCTGGGCATTATTGGGACAAATTACTATTTTATGCAAAGCTTGTGTACACTCCCTGAGATCTTATAAATTGTGGTGACTTCCTCAGACATCAAAAGAAATTATTAGTAAGAAAATTAATTGAATTGTCGTGCTCATTAGTAGCTGAAATGATTGATTGACATGAATTTTTTGTTGCCTAAAGAATGATTTATTTATTTTCAGAAGTAAAACTTTTTTAAAGTTTATTTAAATAAACAGTTTAAAATTAAACTTTATCACTATTTACAAAATAAAGTAATAAATGAAAGGATAAATTAAATCTATATAATATCTAAGTTAATTCCAAATTCAGAAAAGCTAAGAGAAATTAACACGAACATAACTTAAACTAAACATCTTCGCTGTCTATTGTTGTTGCTGTTGTCGTAGTCCATTAAGGCACTGGTGGCGCGATTGCATTTGTTTTGCAGTGGCGCCATCTATGACCAAGAATTCGACTTTTGCCACACTCTTACGTTACATCCAATTATGGGGCGAACCCATTCATATATTCATTCATTCATCCACAGATCGTAATTATGACGTGACCCAGAGAACGATTCATCTACAATCCAGCACCCCCCAGAGGAATAATTTGTCATAGGAACATGGATGACTTTGTGACCCAACAGACTTAACATGCACCCGGGGAGTCTTCGGCGAGGTGGACACGAACTCCCGTTCTCACGAACGTGAGTCTAGCGCCCTGCCAGTCATCCAGGTTATCCTGGCGTTATCGCTGCCAATTAAATAATATATTTCAGTTTACAGCAAATAGCGTCTTACTAACCAATACACTGCCGTGCGATTGAAAAAATAACCTAAGTGCGTCTTGATTGATTCCGAGAAAAGTGGCTTTATTACTATTTTTCTTCTATTGCTAATCCTATGAACGCTAAAATAGAATTTCAAAAAACTGATAAACAAAATTTTAACCTCCACTACGTATAAATAATTGCAACAAATATTAGCATAATAGTCTTTACGATATCGAATTCTAACCTGGTCAAAATATAAATACATTTTTGAGTAAGATTGTTTTTCGGAAGTTGTTTTTACTAATTCTTGGAAAACTCATTCTCGGAAAGAAATGCAAATATTTCGCATGGCTGTTGAAAATCTTAGTGGTTTTAATTTCACTTTAAATTAAATAATTAAGTTGATTGGCTTTTACATCTAGATATATTTAATTTAATTTACAAATGTATTTTGTATAAAAGAAATTAATAAAACTTTTCCACTTTCTAAACTTTTCCCATTTATACCCTGTTTACAACGTTTATCAAAATAATATCTTGACTGTCACATTAGATACCAGCAAATGACGTCAGCGTGTGTAACGATTAAAATTGGGTGTTGAAACGTGGCATTTGTCGCTTGCAACTACTCTTTCCATTCTATTCCGAGTAAAACTAGCCCGCCAAATATAAACTCTCTAAAGTTTCACATTTTATATTCTTTTATAAATAAAGATTTGATTAATTTCTTACTTAACAGAAAGACAGGCACAAAGTTATGCAAAACATAAACAAACAGTGCAACGAAATTGCTAGATAACACAAAACAGCAATAATCACGGCTACAATAAAATGCAAAAACAAATAATAAATCTAGGTTAAATAAAAGACGTAGACAAGGAAGAATTACACTTTAACGAATTCGACATGCGATATGGCGTTATATTTAATTAACTTCACGCTCATTAACATTCTAACTTATGTGGAGAAACATAACTGCACGTTAGCCAGCAATATCCAGAATATTTACCCACCATCTTGTTAATAAAAACTCAGCTGGGGCTGAGATTATAGGTCAGGTGTCTGTGTATCAATGATCTTCTTCTTCTAACGGTGGCCAGAGACCTACCGTTCGAATGCAAAGAGTTAACTCCTGAAAATACCGTACATCTTCAACCATATAGATTGTAAGTCAATGACCAGTGATTCTATACCAGATTTCTTTTTTTCTTTTTAGTTGCGAGAACAGGAATAATGTGTGATTTAGAGTACAGCGTACGTGTCATGCAAAGAGAAGACATACCGCAGGTTCTGGAAGTGTGGAAAGAAACAAAACTTCAGGAAGGTACACAGACACTTTACACTTGGTTTGAAGTAGACCCAGAAGCATTTTACATTGCGGTCACAGAATCAGGTAATGACATTTTAAAAATTACGCAACATAATTAATTTCGAATTATAGTTACATTTGGCAAGTGAGCAGTATAGTAAATCTCACTATATCAGTTATAGTATTTGCTAAATAATGTGAGAAAAAAAATTATGTTTTCATAACTGCAGGTTTGTTGCATATAAGGATTTTCTTTTCTTTAGTTTAAATTGTGGTAGCAATTAACTTTAACGAAAGAAAGAATTCTGAATTTTCATGGAATAAAATACATTATTTTTAGACACTCATCGGTCATAATGTCCATGCATTGGCTATTGCTTTTCCAAGCCGTCGCGAAATTGAACACCGACCCCAATAAACGATCACGATATTTTGCTCATCGATATTTTTATACGTATTTTTATCAACAAAAAAACATGCGCACCTTCGATATTTGTTTTTTAATATTTTACTGCATTGAGTCGTGATGGCTCAGGGGATAGAGCATTCGCCTTCCAATGAGGTAAGCCGGGTTCGAATTCCAGTGATGGCTGGTCGATACGAATCCGCATCCGGCTTGCACCGACCACAGTGCTGACGTGAAATATCCTCAGTGGTAGACAGATCATGGGTTAGAGTTTCTTTGCTGTCAGGTAACCGTGGGATGTTCTCGTGGTCTTCCTCTCCATGTAACGCAAATGCGNCCACAGTGCTGACGTGAAATATCCTCAGTGGTAGACAGATCATGGGTTAGAGTTTCTTTGCTGTCAGGTAACCGTGGAATATTCTCGTGGTCTTCCTCTCCATGTAACGCAAATGCGGGTTAGTTCCATCCAAAGGCTTTTCACGAAGGCAAATTTCTCTCAATACTTAATCCAGACGTTCCCTGGTCTTCTAAATTGGGTTCAAAATTACAAGGCTACGGAGTTGAACATTAGTAGTCGTAAACCCAAAAATTGGGTCGGCTTTTCAACGACGGTTATAAAATGAAATATATTTTACTGCATGTGAAAAAAAAGATTTTATGTTTTCCGAGAAATTCGAGGACATTTGAGTACACATATTTATATTTGCTGACATTTTCTGTCCTCAAAAAGTTTGAAGTTTTCGAAGACAATCACTGAAATTTGAGGACTGTTCTCAAGATTTCACGAAGTCAGGTCACTTTATTTTAACGTATTTTTTTACGAGATGATGCCATTTTTATAAATAAATTCAAATGTTTTATGATGGAATTGCCCAATATCTTATCAGACCCAGAACTTTAAGAAAACTTTTATTAAAGCTATAATTTCTTGAGGAAATTGTCAAGCCGCAACAACTGCTGCTACAGTTTGTAACTGATTTGTTTTTCAAAATATTGTCTGGAAAATATTGTTCGCTTAGAAAAATTCGAACTTTTTGTATATTTTTCTGAGTGCAAACTATGCATTGTTGGAGAGACTTTTTAAATATTAAAAAAAAAATTAACAACATTTTTCATTTTCTGGGATTCTCGTATTTTCATTTTGAGCGATTTTCATAATCAGCACACAGGACGATAATTAAGGTACCCGACTAGTATTGACACAATTTTTTTCCTAAAAAAAGGCTTAATTAAAATTTTAATTTTATGTTTGGTAAGAACGGGCCCTAAAATTATAAATTTAATACCAAGTTTAAAAATTTACATAATATTTTTCACAAATGGCTAAATTTGAACTTCAAGTGATATAATTTTCAAGTTACCTAACTTCCTTATTTTTCAAGTCAATCATACAGATCTACTGTAAATTGTAATGCATAAATTTCAGAATAAATTTTTTTTCTAGATCAATAAAATGGTGACCTGTGTTTTAAACTAAAATCTTAAGAAAAAATTTTTAAAAAATAATTAAATAGAACAAAATACATTGTTTAATATCGAATTTTCAAAGATAAATTCTAAATGTTCTTATATGAAACTTGATAAAAATAACAAATTTAAACTTTGACCTGTTCAAAATGTCGTTAACATTATACAAAATCTACATTCAAAATTTCAAAGAATTCTGTGAATAACTTTTTTTTCCGTTAGCGTGTTAGCTAAAAAAATTTCTCACAATCAACGTACCTCAGAAAATGTATAACAATACAAGGAAAATTATGACAACAAAAAATTTATAATTTTAAAATTACTTTCTGACAATGAATCTTATTTGTCCTAAAACTATAATTTATTCAAATAAATGAGGGATCAAATTTTGAAACAAAACAAAAAGCATTTTAGTTACTTTTTCGTGAATTTGCTTACCTAAATTTACATACGAAAAAACAATCGTAACCTTATTTCTGAAAACCGGAGATAATTATTTTAAAGGATTTTGGAAAGGTAATGAACTAGAGTTTAAATATGGATAGTAAAAAAAATCCTAATTTTCGTCAAAATAGCTGATTTTTATCCAATCGGATGCCTTAAGATTGTCAAAATCGAACCTATTAATCAAAATTGTAAGAAGCATACAGCAGTTTCAAAAATAGAATATTATTTTCTAAAAAAATGCTATATCTCATAAGATAACAGAGCCGTTGAAGAGCAGCCTTCGCACTTACAAGTAATTTCTGTCAGCGACGTAATAATATTATTTAAAAGAAAAATAATGACCTAATAAATAACTTAAGAACAATAAGTTTTAGTTGTCATTGCAATTAAAACTTGTGAAGTGACAACAGCATTATTATATAGCTTAAGGACACCGTAAATGCGTCTCGTTATTATTTGCTGAGAATTATGTCTCATTTTTGTCCAACGGAAACGTTTAAACAAACCGGAAATGTCATTTTTACGTAATTACATTGTGTTTATTTACTAAGTTATGATGTTATGAATGACTGAAATGTCCCGGATGTTCTATTTTAAGGAATAATGAAAACCAATTTGTGTCACTGTAGATTTCTCAGTGATTTTAAAACAGTAAAACTCTTGTAATGTGCAAAAATTCAGCATAATCTAGGGGGCACCAATACTGCACCCGAAATTGCTTTCGTAGTTCCTTTCAGTTTGTTTATTTTGTCTGTTATTATTTTTTCACATTTTTTTTTAATAACTGTTGTTGAACAGCCGATCCAATTTTATGGGTTTACGACTACTAATGTTCGACATCCGTAGCCTTGTAATTTTGAACCCAATCCAGAAGACAAGGGAACTCCTGGATCAAATATTGGGAGAAATTTGCTTTCGTGGAGGACTTTTTGATGAAGCTAACCCGCATTTGCGTTCCATGGAGAGGAAGAACACGAGAACCTCCCACGGTTAGCTTGACGGCAAGGAGACTCTAACCCATGATCCGTCTACTACTGAGGATATTTCCCGACCCTGTGGTCGGGGCTAGCCGGATGCGGAATTTGTATCGACTGGGATTCAAACCCGGTTCGCAGCATTGGAAGGCGAACGCTCTATCCCCTGAGCCATCGCGGCTTTGTCTGTTATTTGGAGAGAATGACATAGTTCATCTGGTACTCGAAAAATTTGATATTGGTTATGAAGAGAAGACAAATCTCATCATTTGGGACCAGCACTATATGACATTTTGCAAGGAAAATATTTCTATACTAAGTACTTCCAGACAATAACTTTTCAAATTTACACTCATTTGCAGTTATTTAGATCCAAGAGAAACAGTTATACACGATTGAAATTTCTTTCATTTTAAAAATAAATTATTGGTTAATATTTGATTACGACTGATTTTTTTTTCTAACTACTTTTTTGGATTTTATATTTTAGTATCTGCGTCAAAGGATTAAAACTAGAATGAAGTTACAACTTCCTCAACTTATTTTGGTCTATCAAAATTTTGCAAGTGCAAATATGACAAGATTTCTAAAAGCTTCAAATACCAACAACTATCAAACTGTACTAAAAAAGCTGTCAAACCGTACCAATAATTTTGTCGTGTAAAACTATCAGAACATTTGCTATTAAAAGAAAATTAGTTTTCATAGAGTTAGTGTAAAAAATTTTCAATATCCATAATTTTGCTCATCCGCAATACATATGATTGAAGATAGGTGTTATTCTAAACATAACTACAAGCATATCTGATTCTTGAAGCAAAAGTTATTTTCAAACCAGTAATTTTCTGGAGTTGCAGTTGTGTCTGACAAATCACTCTTAAAATTCTGAGTGGTTATTAATAATTTGAAGAGTGCTATTGTGATTCTTTATGCTAGCAATTTCTCTTAAAATTGGTATAATTTAGTTTGCCTCAATATAAATATATTCCTCAATTTTTTATAACTTAGTCATGGAATTCTCCAAAAACTAATTAAGTTATAAAAGCAATTTTTTCACTACTCCTTGTCCTAATGTTGTAGGGAAAAAAAGAAATGATGGTAGCAAGGTAGCTGGAATGTTGTCATTTTAGCTACAAATTTGAGATGGAAAAGTTTGAGTCACTTCATATTAACGAATACACATCGTTTGCAGACAATATCATCACGAGAGCTTTAGTGGCTAAGGAGATAGAGCTCTCGCCTACCAATGAGTTAACACGTGTTCGAATCCAATCGATGTCTGGTTGAAACGAATTCCGCACCCGGCTCTCCCCGACCACAGTGCTGACGTAAAATGTCCTCAATGGTAGACGGATTATGGGTTAGAGTCACCTGCTGTCAGGCAAACCGTGGGAGGTTTTCGTGGTTTTTTCTCTATGTAACACAAATGCGGGTTAGTTCCATCAAAAAAGTCCTCGAAGGCAAATTTATCCCAATACTTGATACAGGAATTCCCTTGTCTTCTGGATTGGGTTCAAAATTACAAGGCTCCGGAGTTGAACATAAGCAGTCGTAAACCCCAAAAATAAAATAAAACTTACTCCTGGAAAAAATCGCTTCCTCGCACAATGAATAAAACTTATTAAAGATAAAATAAAGAAATATATCTCACTTTATGTGTTACAAGAAGAGATTATCAATTGTTGCTTTTGAAGGACAAAATAGCCTTTATAATGAATAAGTTGAAGTGCATTTCCAACACAATACCAAAGCGGTAATTTCAACTCTCCAGCATTATACCATAAATCTTTTCATTTTTTGCCACTTTACGAGATGTTCTAAAGAGGAACTTTATGAGGGAAAGCAAAACAATGTATATCTTTTCAGAAACGTATAAGAATAACGCAAGACGGAATATTCATACATGTACTCTTTCTCTTTTCACAAGTGGTGGTAAAGTCAGATTACGAAAATCAAATGTACACAAAATATCGTTTGATTTTCCTGCATTTATGTCGATGTTAAATTAATTTGCGTGAAGTGATATTAAAATAAACTTCTAAGTTCAATTAATAAATCAAAAAATGAAATAGAGAAACGCAAGCTTGCTTTAAATATAAAAAGCAATATCGCTTTAAATATTTAAAAAAAAAAATTCTTTCGGAAAATCAGGCAGAATTATCAGGTATGATTTACACAAAATATAAGCTAATTTAATTCGAATGTTAGCAAAATTTCGATTAATTTTCCTTGATTAATTATCGTTTAATAAATTTGAGAGTGCTTCGTAATCCCCACTCTTAACTTATATTTTTAGAATCGTCATCAATAATAAAGTAAATATACATTGTAGGGTCGCAAAATAGTATTTAAGCGAGAGAAAAGACAAAACCTATTTGAAAATATAACGAATCACCACTGAAGATAAAAGAACTAAAAACACCAGAACTCGTTTGATTGCCGGCGAAAACTAAGACTTGAACTTTTTTTATTCATGTTTCCTCACAAGTGATTCTATAGCGTTTCTGTTTCCTATCGAGTGAAATTTATGGGCTTCTCTTTTCAAATTCATTTTTGAAAAGCATTCAGAAAAACGTGCCTCAAAGTTGATCATTACGGAACAGTCTATATTTTATCACACATACTTTTGACGTAACACAGATGAACCATTCTTCTCTGACGTTGCGTAAATTCAACTATTCAGTAATGTAGAAAGTATTAGCGGGATTCCAAATTATTATACGGTTATGTGAAATGTATGTTGTTTTGAGCAATTTGTTACATTTTGTATCTGTCATGAGTGTGATTTAATTTGATATCATTACTTTTTCAGGTGAAGTGATAGGTGTGTGCTCCGGTCTCATTCATCACGAAGACTTGGCATTTGTGGGTATCTATGCTGTTCGGGAGAAATACCGTGGGAAAGGAGTAGGATATAAGGTAATAAATGCTATGAAATCTGTGCTAACCCCTTAACGATCGGCTAATTTTCAAGAAAACGATCATAAAAGTACATATTTTGCCAAATACACGTATTTGATTAGTGCTGACATCTAGTCTAAAATAAACTAACTATCTGCAATTATTGTGAAAATATCCTGTTACTGCCATCTGGTGTGCAAAATGAGAAATAAAATGTTTTCCGGGCAAAAGAAATGAATTAATTTTATTTTTATTGACGCGTTACTACTGAACACCACTGTCCAGAAATTTCACGGGAGCGAGAAATAGAGGGCGAAACCTTACACCATCATTTTTACGGGAGCGAGTAGGAAGGGGTTAAGTAACTAATACACGATTACTTCAACTGCATAAAATAACACCATATTATCATATGTAATAAGATTGTATATCATAGCACATGTGTGACGGACAAGAAACATAAAAGATTTGTCGCTTTGTTCACGGCTTAAATTTGTTATTTTTTAACAGTATTTTTTTCCTCCCTTGAAAGTCTAATGATAAACAGAGTATTCCGCTATCTAATCAACCTAATTTATATACATATATACTTGAATATAATGTATATATTTGTACGTACAATATGAATTATATTAAGTACGCAATATTATATGTATTAAATAATATTTTTTTAAATTTCTACGATGCTTTCTTTTATAGAACTATGTTCAATGTAATTTTGATTTTCATATAGTTTCCTAACTTAAAAGTTTTTACTTTACTTGTAAATCAAGACAGAAACCAAACTACTTCCTTCTCCTATGACTCCCCACACGCTAATTGTGAAAGTATGTAAAGTGTTGCCTTAGGTAAAGAGTTCTGCTCTATGCCACCCGTAGCGCCCATTTCGATGGCCATTATCAAAATAGATTAAAAAAACAGAGTTTGTTCCTCTTTTAGACCATCATATGTTTCAATTTTAATGAAGAAAAAAAAGCTAATTTGTTCTTTTTTTTTTCTTTTTTTGTAGGTGTGGAGTGCATGCATGGACCACATTGGATCTATGGATGTCTGCATAAATGCTGTTCCTGATAAATTCGAACTATATCGTGACAAAGGAGGCTTTCCCGTGGTGGAAACAGAATGGAAATGCGTGGTAAATGAAACTCAATTTGATGTAGCTTTCAACCCAGAAGCCTTATCCGATATCATCCCAGAAGGCGTTGAGATTCTACCTTTCCAAGATTCCTTTTTGCCGTCCATGCTAGAGTATGATTATTCTTTAATGGGCTACAAAAGAGACATCGCGATAGAGCTCAACTGCAAAGAGAAGGACAGTCAAACTGTCGTAGCAATGAAAGATGGCGCTTGCATCGGATGGGGAACAATCAAATTGACTTGTCTTAATTTGGGACTGGTTGGACCTTTGTATGCTGATGACGCAGATGTGGCCGAGGCCATTCTCCGGCGACTCATCACCGAATATCCACGCTATGACGGTTTTTCGATGATGACCATTTCAAGTAATGTGGCTGCGAGTGCGATGCTGAGAAAAATCGGCTGCCAGGCATTGGAAGAATGTCCTCGACTCTATAGAAAACATAAACTGAAAGTAGACGTAAATAAAGTGTTCGCTCACTTTAATTGTAACTTTTCACCATTTTAAAAAGCCATCTTAAGTCATCTTGGGAATATCTATCATCATATCTATTTTTTGAAAAAGCTTTTGTTCTAAGCAGTAGTTATTTTGTATATTTTTGTTAAGTAGCAACAGAGTTTATAAATATACAAAATTACTAGGGGTAAAGAAAAGGTTTTGAAAGGCTAAAGGTTAAAAAGTAAACGGTTAATCTATCATTTGAAAGAAGAGCGATATTTTGCAAAGAGTTTTGTGTAGCATTAACCGTAACACTAACCTCACTTTCAACCCTCTTAGCGTTACAGCAATTTGCAGGGAAATATTCGCGCATGCGCAGTATTTGCACATTAACCCTAACCTTACTTTCAACCCTCTTCCTTACAGCAATTTGTAGGTAAATATTCACGAGCGATTAATCCTCACTTCGGCCGGATCGCACTATTGGTTGAAAATGACATCACTGTTCGGGGGAAGACCCATGCTGTGTATTGCATAGTATTTTGGCGACAGATTTTAGATTTAGTTTTCAAACGCGATCTGTTTAACACGCNTGTATTTATTTCAATTTTTGTTACTTTATAACTGTAAAAGATAAAAGAAGGAATAAATTCCAAGCGAGCACGGGTGAATACGAAATTTGTCGCCAAAATCATGTAAACACCAGCCAATAGCCCCCATCTCCCTGCCCCCAAACAGTGATGCCATTTTCGACCAATAGCGTGATCCGGCCAAAGTGAGAATTAGTCGCTCGTAAATATTTGCGCATGCGCAATAATTCTGAAATAGTGGTTGAGTAACGCTATGTAAAATCTCTGTAATGTTTCAAAATAACTCTCGAAATTAGAGTTACCAAAAATCGGAAGCGCAAAAATAAAATAATGAAAATAGAAATAGAAATTTATAAAAACCTGAAAGAATGGAAAATTATGTGGGGGGATAAATTTGTGATTTTTAAATTATTTTACTTTTTCTCGTAATTGATTAAATGAAATAAAGAAATTTTAGAATGCTCTGTCTTCAAAGGCTATATAAAGAGTTTTGCTAATAGGAATTGTTTTTTGATAAGCATTTCGACTTATAATTTTTTTATACTAAAGTGAGCAAACAGGGTCTAATACATATTTATATGCGAAATTTTTTTATGAAATACAAACTGTAATATTTTTCAAAAATTAATTACCTTTAGTTCTTGACTATTGAAGAGAGGTTAAAAAATATTCCAGACGCAGTGTTAATAAAAATGTTTATAGAATCTTATGCTTCTAACTTGCTAAGTATTGTTACTTTCTATCCTATTATTTAGCAATATTGATATTATACGCTAAAAAAATTTTTAAAATTATAAAACTATGATTTATTGTACCTCGTTGTGTGTTGTTGAAAATATCAATGATGATAGTTGTCTTTGATATGTACAATATTTATAAATGTTTTGATACAAAAGAAAATTTATTATAAATGTTCAAGAAAACTATTGTTGCTTATTTACTTGTTGAAAAATAAAACTAATAATGCTGAAAAATTTTATATTTGTTTATTTACATTTAAATTAGTTTAAGGAGAAAAGATCACAATTTCTGTGATTACTATTACAATACTGCTCAAAAGGAGGGAACATTTATATTAACTTTAGCTTAATTCAGAATTCTATTGTCAGTACTTTTAAAAGTTTGAAAACTTCTGCAAAACATTTTCACCACTTAGTCCAGGCAGAAAACTAAATTGATTAATAAATTTCAAATTCTTTGAATTAAAATTGTTTTATATTTTAGAATCTACAACTGATTCAAAAATTTTAATAAAAATCAAGACAATAATGAAACAGGACGATAGTTATTAAGGAGTTTGGTATCACCAAATTTATGTATTGGAATAAAGTTCAAAAGTTTAAACCAGGCAGAAAAAATTCTTTTATTCAAAGAAAGATACTAAAATGTGACTATGATGTTTAAAAACCAGTTTTTAGTATTTTTATTTAACATCATAGTTAAGTGATTCATTAATCTTAAACATGATTTTCTTAACTTCATAAATATCAGTCTCGTGAAATTAAACAGAATCGATAAAATAGGAAACGTTTAAAATTGTTAATGTAAGTACATTTATTTTTCAATCCAACTGAAATGAAATATTAATTAAAGCTATTTTCAATATGCACTTAACAAAAGTTTGTGGGTGTTCAATTCCTGAGTGAGTTAAATCATATAAAAAATTCCATTGCTTTTTCACAATACATTCAGAAAATTTCTTAAGGGATTAATTTGATTTAGCAAATTTAATAGTTTCTTTAGGTAGTCCTAGTATTTTTTTAATTTTGTTTGATGCGTTTTCGATATAATTTTTCTTTTGTTGTAATCAAATTTAATTTTTCTTCATTTGTCCAGTTTTTATTTCTAGTTTTAATTTCTTAATACTACAATTAGATTTAAAGCTATTAACAATGGTATGAATTTAAAACAAGAAATTTTCACACAAATTATCAAATCTTACAAAATCAGATTTGAATGAATAAGTAAATAGAAATTGCATACAGCATCATTACCAATTTTAGAAATAAATAAAAATTATTATGCTTGATGCATTATTACTGATGACAATATACAAATAACAGAAAAATAATCATCAATGCCAATTTCGAAAACAGCTGGATAAATAAGGATGTCATGCATGTTTCAGATGATAGGTGTCTTGGGATATTCATCCACTTTTAGATGCACCTGGATAATTTTTTTTTTAAAAAAATTTCCGTACATGAGCTGCATAAAGCAACTACTTCAATTACTCTTATCTGGCGCAGTTTTTATTATTATTTTTTTTAATTTTAAAGCAATAATTTCGTTATTAGTTTAAAATTGATTCAAACGCTTTGTTTAATTTTTTTTTTAATATTTAAGCTATAGCAAAAGTGGCACTAGACCCAGGGCTGAAGAGAATAGAAGGGCTAGTTCACTCCGCTCTTAGAGCTGAAGCTACGATTTTCCTCCTCATGACGTCACTGTGTCCACAGATCTCGGAGATCGCAAGCAAAGATATTATAATAACTTTGCATCTTTCTCTTTATAAAAATAAGTTAAACTTTTTCTGGTTATTAGCTTTCAAACTTTACGTAATCAAAACATTATTTCTGTTCATAAACATAGTTCAAAAAAACTTTCTCGGCCATTATATTAAAAAAAAAATACCATTTTAAACTTATAAAAATGTTTTACTAGTTGGCGGAAATGACACTATTAATACTTTATTTTAAAAAGTTGAATTTTAACTTTAATTATTAAGAAAAATGAAATCATATATCGAAACTTTTTTTATCTACATATTCTTTTATAACGATAAGTTGAGTTAAATTTAGAATCCCTGATTTTAAAATATGTCGTTAATAGCAATTTGTTCATACTTAATCATTAGGAAACGTCAACCTTAAACGCTAATTACTGAAACAAAATAATAATTTAGGTTCATAATGACATTAGAAATTTTACAATTGTTTATAGGTATTTAAATTTACGATGATATAATTTATAGATATTTAAATAGAAGAGAATATAATTTTTAAAAAAAATCATAAATATTTAGAATAACTACATTAAAAAATATGTTAAGAAATTAGGAGAATTTCAACTATATACTATATACTTTATTCATACTTTTTATTTAAATATTAATTTTCTTTGACTTTATCCATTTTTTAATTCTTTTCACCTGCCTTTCTTTTTGAAGTAACGAGGCGGTTTCTATTTAGATAATGAATTTTTATTTATAAAAGTTCTTAACGACAGAATAAACGTATTGCTGTTTTATATTAACTGTGTCATTTCGGAATCCATTCTTTACATAGTTGTTCATTTACTTTAGGGAACACGCGGAAAATTATGTTTTCTCCTTTTGTTTTTGTATCAGAATTTTTGCAAGTTGCAATCGCGTAAACTGGCATTTCGATAATAGTTTTAAATTCTTGTAAATTTACTGCAAAAACTGAGGAAAGTCATTATAGAAAATAACAAATGTCTTAGAATGTCTCTCAAAAAGAAATGATCCAATATTAGTTAGAGCTATTAAAGCCGAACGCTCCGTTCTTGAAGTAAAAGTGCGAGCTTTGCGCCAAAGTGACGTCACTAGAGAAAATCGGAGGATTGGCGCGGCGAGAGTTACTTCAATGGAGTGAACCAGCCCTTCTATTCTCTTTAGCCCTGCACTAGACCTAGTATATATTTCGGACATTTACCAAAGGTCTAGTCATACTAGGTCTGGTTAAGTACCATTGCCCGGTATACATTTGCCCTGTATACCCTACACTGATGTTTTTTTAAGGTTCAGTGCCACTGCCCGGTATACCCTACACTGATATTTTTTTAAGGACAAGTGCCACTGCTCGTAATACATTTTCCCGGTATACCCTACACTGATGTTTTTTTAAGATCAAGTGCCACTGCCCGGTATACATTTGCCTGGTATACCCTACACTGATGTTTCTTTTTAAGGTCAAGTGCCACTGCCCGGTATACATTTGCCCGATACTCCAAACACTGATGTTTGTTCTAATCTATCGTCAGTAGGTATTAAAATATCGAATAAATGTAATTATATCCACGAATAAATTAATATCAAATCGGATGTAATAAATATTTCGGACATTCAAAAAAGCGACTAATTAGATTGTCAACATTCACCGGTGAAAGTCAACAACCACCGATTTCGGTCATTCACAGTAACATGCACATCATTTACATAATAACCTCATCAGGACGATCATTTCATACTTTGCCTAAATAGCATCCGGCATTTCAAAAAATAAAAAGAATTGGTTTTGTTGGCGATGATTTCGTAAGGCGATAAAGAATCATGCTGAGTACAGGTAAGGAAGATATTAACCTCGAAGGAAAAGTGGATGAATACCCCAAGGAACCCTGATGATATGATCAATGCACGACTTAGAATTGCGATGAGTTACTTGGTTTATGACTGAGAAGAATCCCTCTGATTCCCAATTCTTAACTTTATTGTCTTATACTCTTAAGTCTTAACTTATCCTTAAGTTAAGTCTTAACTTATACTCTAATTTATTGACTATTACTCTTAAGTCTTAATTTTTACTTTTAAGTCTACATTTTTACGTGTTGTTGGTTTTTTTTAACAATATTTGAATGTTTTTAAGCATCTACAATTTTATTCAGTTGTTTTTCTTTAATTTTGAAACACGACCTCTCAAATGTGGACACCGAAGTACATTGTAGTATCCTCTATTCACATCGTAGTGAATAGATGAAGAATGTTAACTAGAATGACTGTAGACTAGGTTGTTTGGTATTCAAGAAGTTAGCCTGATATCAGGAAGATCCCGGGTTCGAATCCCACCTCGCACAAATGCAATTTATCTCTCCGTTGTATCTGTTCTTCTTGTGTCGTTAGGGTGGCGTTAATTCACTGATTCACCTGTTTGGTGCCCATAAAAAGTGACAATCCAAACTTTAAAAGAAAAAGACGACTAACGATTTCTTTACTTTTGAGTAAATCCGTTTCCTCAAAGAAATGAAGATAGTTATTTCGTCACTT